GCGCTTCCTTCGGTCTGTACTTTTCCTTGTCCTCTCTCTCTCTCTCTCTCTCTCTCTCTCTCTCTCTCTCTCTCTCTCTCTCTCTCTCTCTGTCTGTCTCTCTCCCTCCGTCCCTCTCTCCCTCTTTGAGTGTTATTTTTAATTTTTTTTTTTTTAGGTGTGGTCTCGCTCTTATTAGAGCATACTCAGTCTAGGACTGTTCTCGATGTTTCTGACTGCAATTACGGTCGTCGCTGTCTGTATCTGACCACATTTCTGACCACATTTACGTCCAGAAGCGCTGGGCCCAAAAGGTCGTCGTAGCAGTAGGCCCTTTGTTCTTTGCTGTGGCGTGGTCGCACAGCATTCTTCCTGTTGACGCACATGCTGATGACGTCATCAGAATTCTTCTTCATCTTGATGCGAATCGTGATTGTCGTTTGCGACGAGCGCCGAGAAAAGTTTTTGTCGTTTTTGTCGTTTTTGTCGTTTTTGTCGTTTTGACTTCAAAGGTTTTTTTTGTTTGTTTGTTTTTTGGGGGGATCGTTGTTCGGTGTGCTATCGCGTCAAAAAGAAGGTCCTTTGTTTTGGTTGAAGGAAACCTGTCTTTTTCCAAAAGAAAAAGGGGGAAAAAAAAAGAATCCTATTTTGTCGAAGTTTTTCGTCCGGTCCTTCTCCCATCCCGCCGGCGGAGATGTCCGTTCGTCTTAGCCCCATGCGCCCCCCCCCCCCCCCCCCCCCCCCAAAAAAAAGAAAAAAAGACCCACGTGCGTCACGGACTAACGTTCTCAAAACGGCACATTTGATTCCGAGGCCTACGAGCTTCTCTATTGTCTTTTTTATTCTATTTTTGGCCCCGTCCTTTTGACTCAGAGTTCCCGACTCCGATCCTCACTTGCCAAGTGCTTCGTTGATTAACTAGTCTGTCCGTGGTTCGGCACCTGTCTCTTATACACATCTAGATGTGTATAAGAGACAGGCATTCCATTCTTCGTCGACGAGAAAATAGGGAGTAAGAGAAGTAGCTAGAGTACACAGAGTACGTCCTACCTCAACAGCGGTGAGTCAAAAGTAAGAACAGACAAAGAAGCCTTGTGTGGACTCGTCGTGTTCCCCTAGGTCGTACGTGGTCAACAACAATTGTTTTCTTTTTTATTATTATTGTTTTTTTTTTTTTTTCCGGGCAACAGTGGAACTACAATTTTTCTCTCTCTCACAAGCACGCAGCAAAACTGACATACACACCAAGCATATCTGTCACTTTACTCCTCTCTGCTTTTCCTCCTCGCCTCTCTCTCCCTCTCTGTGTCTAGTCAACTTGCATTCTGACTTTGTTTCCTCCCTCCCCCCTTTCTACCTCTCTCTCTCTCTCTCTCTCTCTCTCTCTCTCTCTCTCTCTCTCTCTCTCTCTCTCTCTCTTTTTTTCAAAACTTGTGCCTTCTGGATTGTATCTGGGCACGATTACCGTCACATTCAGTCAGGGAAGTCGTTGTGTTGAGTTTATCTTCTAACTCGTCGACTTCACCTTTACCCAACCACTTCTCTTCTCTCATCGGTGCGCAGCCGGTTGAAACATGTAGAGGAGGGAAACGTGCGCGTTTGAGGATGTAACACGTACTATGAAGTTTCATTGCTGATTCTCAGTGAGCGTGTGCAGAAGCAATTGGCCATTGCTTGTCATCATTCTTCTTCTTCTTCTTCGTTAGGACGTTTCGTTTCCCTTCCATTTATTACGTAGAGCGATTGATTTTCCTCATTAGGCTTTGTTAAGGACTAATCATCAGTCATGGATCCTTCAACCACTACCTAATTACTCGTACCTAATACTCTAATCTTTCATTCATCTCATCTTCTACAACCAATCAACCAATCAACCATCTTCTATAACCAATCAAACAATCGATCAATCAATCAATCAATCAATCAATCGATTAACTAGTAAATAAATGAATTAATCAACTAATCAATCAATCAATTCATCTGCTATAAAAAAGATTTAGTTACGCTCCTGCGATGATAAAATAATCAACGACCACTGCGTCCGTTTTGTAACGACCTTTTTTTTTTTTCTGTTTCTTTTCTTTTTCTCTAGTCTGCTAAAAAAACAGATTTAGTTACCCTCCCCTGACGAAGTGATTGATTGATTCTCTGCTGGATGAGGGAGGGCCTCTACCGTGTTTTTTTTTTTTTTTTTTTTTTTTTTTTTTTTTTTTTTTTTTTTTTTTTTTTTTTTTTTTTTTTTTTTTCCCTCTGCCCTTTCTTAGGTGGTAGCCCATTGGATTGACAAGATAACGATCCATCATTGGTCATCCCAGGTTTTTTTTTTTTTTTTGTGCATTGGACACGACTTATTCAAACCCGTTGAAGATATTTAAGGTATTCAGGTACTGGAAAAAAAAAAAAAGGAAAAAAAAGGTATTCAGGTATTCAGCTATTCTAGAATCTGAACTTGTCCTCGCTGAATATGCAGTTGGAACTACGTGTGAATACTACTATACCTGAGGAATATCTTTTTTTCTTTTCTGTTTTTTTTTTAACCTGAGGATTTTTATTTTTTATTTTTTATTTATATTCCAACGTGCTCCAAATTATATTGGTGGGGAGCTGCACCTGCTGGAAACCGGAGTTTCGTCGCAAAGCAAACGCCTTTTTTTTTTTTTTTTTTTTTTTTTTTTTTTTTTTTTTTTTTTCTTCTTTTTTTTTTTTTTTTTTTTTTTTTTTTTCCGAAAGCAAATTTTTTTTTTTTTTTTTTTTTTTTTTTTTTTTGGAACGAGACGTAGTGAACTAATTCAGCTCCCTAGCTTTTTTTGTTTTTTACAGTATTAATATTTATCTATTTTTTCAAAATATTTGCGTCTCTTCCTCCTTTTTGCAAGCAGCGGCGCGGCTGCTGCTGCAGTTGCTTTTGCCACTGCGATCGCGATCGGGATCTCGATCGTAACCGCAATCGCCGACCAGACCGTATCATCGCTATTACTAGCTGTCATTTGTTAAATATTATTAATGATAAATTTGTTAAATATTATAAATGATAAATCACCATCTTTATTAACCTTCTCTGCATCATTTTATTTTTTTTTTCTCTCTGCATCATTTTATTACTACTAGGAACAAAATGTTAATCAATTAATTACTGTAATTCAGCTCCCTTTCTTTTTATTCATTTGCCTTTCTTCCTCCTAGTACTGCGTTTTTCTCCGAAAGTTAGGGGAGAGGGGGGGGGGGGGGCTGCTTTTTTTTTGAAAGGGAGTTGGGTTTCCCATCATGCACCGGTAATGAAAACAGGACTAGGTGAAGATTAACCAAGTGTGCCTGTTGACATTATCTTCTTCAGTATCTATTGACACGTGGCGCAGAAGTTTTGAAAGGATGTTCGAATGTTTCTGAAGTTGTGGAAGTTTTTAAACGCCCCATAGATGTGAGAAATATCTGTATATATATTCTATTTGTGACGATATATATACATATTGTCCTCTTCTCTCTCTCTGCCTACGGTTTACCGGGCAGTTCTGTTTGTGACGATATATATGTAAAATGTATATATCGTTTATTGTCCTCTTCTCCCTCTCTGCCTACGGTTTACCGGGCAACTCTGTTTGACTATCCTGATGAGCCGGTAAAACTCCGACGAAACAGTTTGTCACAGCCCCTCGTTTGTTGTCCTTTTCTCTCTTTCTGCCTACGGTTTACCGGGCAGTTCTGTTTGTGACGATATATATATATAAATATAGTTTTTATAGATGTGAGAAATAGGTAGTCATAGAGATCGAAAAGTGAAGAAAGAGTGGAAAAAAATAGAGAAGAGGGGGAGGAGAGGCAAGCAGAGAGAAGAAAAAAACAAGACGAGAGGGAGGAGGAGGAGAGGGAGGAGAAGAGGAGAGGAGAGGAGAGGAGAGGAAAGGAGAGGAGAGAAGTGAAGAGAAGAGGAGAGAGAGGAAGGGAGGGAGGGAGCGAGGGAGGAAAAGAGAAGGAAGGAGAGGGAGGGACATTGAAAGAATAAGATAGCTTGTTATCTCAGTAAAACATAAGGAGAAAGAGAAGAGTATGCATGTTTCAATCGTCAGAATTGGGATGATGATGATGATGATGATGATGATGATGATGCAGAGAAGATTTTGAAGAAGTTTCTGAGAAAGAAAGAAGAACATTCTGATCGATCTTGATTTAAAAAAAAAAAAAAAGTCAATAGTGAAGAAAAAAAAAAACAGTGGCCATAGACTGTTTCTCGTACACGCATCGATAACAAAATTCATTGCTTCTCCGCATGTTCAGTTCTCATGTAAAACGCGCAAAGTAGAAGAGAAAAGTGGAAAGATCTTTTTTTTTCCCAAAAAACAAGAGAGAAAAGATCTTGGCTGTGCTGTGAGGACGAGCGATTTGTTGTCGGGATCGGCGAAAAGAGAGAGAGAGAGAGGGGGTTGTGAAGGCTGGAGTGTTTGATAGGTTTGAATCGATTACTTAATTCATCAATTGATTGATTGATTGATTGATTGGTTGGTTGGTTGATTGGTGAATTGGTTAAGGTTAACTTAAAGAACGATCGACCGACAGATCAGTCATCTTGAACTGACACCGTGCCTTGTATGCCCGCGTAATCATTCGGTAACATTCTTCTCTCTCTCTCGCTCTCTCTCTCTCTCTGTAGGTGGAAAGGGAGGAGTGCTTGCCCTCAATTGGTCGAACGATAGAGCTTTTTGTATTTAAAAAACATCGTTTTGTATAATAAAAGAAAACATCGTTTTATTCTCATCACCCAGGGGTAGAAGGAATTTCGATGGTTTTTCATCGTCAGCCATTTTGATTGCAATTTTTTAATTAATCAATCAATCAACAAGTAAATCAATCAATCAACAAGTAAATCAATCAATCAATCAATCAATCAAGCAACCAAAAATGGACTTTCTTGTCCCGCATACGAAGGCATTTGTAGGCCGAGTAGGCTGGCTGGATCCGCATTTTCCTATCTCCGTCTCGTCGATCTCGAAGCCACGTGGTGCCACGCGTAAGTCGACTCGTCGGGTCGCGATCCCTGTTGGTCCTTCCCGCCCCCCTCCCCGTCCTTGCCGCCTCTCCTCGATCTCGATCCCGACCCGGGGCGACCATCCCAGAACTCCCATTACAGAGAGAAACTGCTTCGCCCCCCGGGACGGCAGTTGCGCTCCCGCCTACCTCCCCCTCCCCCTTCCCCCGCGCCCGCAGCGCTCGTACATGCCCGCTGCCCTCCCCCTGGTCTCTTGCTCTGCCTGCCACCGCTCCCCCGCTTCCACATTCGAAACCCTACTTCCCCTCGCTCCTTGCGCTCGGCCTCCTTTATCTCCCTCCTCCTCTCTCCCATCTCCATCTTCCTACTCTCTCTCATCTCCCCCACCTTCCTCCTCTCTCCCACCATTTCCTTCTTCCTCCTCCCTCCGATCTCCTCCTCCCTCGCCTCCGTCCCCTGCATCATCATTTTCACCCTTTTCCAGGAAGATTCATCCACCTACATCACCATCCAGTCGAGCAGCATCCGTGCATTCCGTCCCGTGTCATCATCTTCATCTTCATCGTCATCATCATCATCAGCGACATGGCCACCATCGCCGACACAGCTATGAGCGACGAAGTGTGGGAGACTTGTGGGAGGGGAGGAGGAGGAGGAGGGTGGTGGTAGTTGGAACAGAGAGCGTGGTGGCGGAGGAGGAGGAGGAGGAGCAGGAGGGGAGAAGGCTTGCTGGGAGCCAACAAGGAGTGGAAGAAGGGGGTAAAGCGCGAAGACCACCATCGCCATTTGCTCGTGCTCGTCACTGGACCAAGCTTTGCCATTCCGTTTCGGGAATTCTTTCCATTTCGAGAATGTATCCCCGGGCATCCGCAGGAGCTTCCAGTTTATCAGGCATGGACATCGGCATCGACACTCTCTTCTTCTTCAGGTAGCTGGGGGACCAAAAAAACAAAAAACTCGACGGTACCTCCTTATCACCCTCCTCTCCCTCCTCCTCCCAGCTAAGTAAATTCTGTTTATACACCCCCCCCCCCCCCCCCCCCCCCCCCCC